GATCCCCTCACCTGACTGAAGCTGTGGGGTGCACAGGTCTTTGTAATGCTAACTCTACTGGATGTTGATCACTGGCTCTGTGCGGCTTTAACATTTCAGAAAAGGTTTTTTCTCTGTTTGTCTGTAGCTTTATTTTAGCTTGCCCGTTTTATATCACAACAATTTGTAGAGACAGATATCAACAGATATCTCTATCTTTAGCGACACCGCTTCAAAGTTGCAAAATGATCAGTTTCTCTGATTCTACGATTTGTGTTAATAATAAGAAAAAACATTTTGTTCCACTTCAAATTCACCAGACGCTGGATTTTGTCGTGATGTTGTGTGATTATGATTTTGAAGACAAACTTTTTTTTAAATGTTTTTTTAATTTATAAGTTTATTTCATTCGTTGACCAAACGATACAATTTAAATGCAAATTCATAAACTCAACTCTCGAATGAAAAGCTGCAGAAAGAAGCTGAAGAATCTTATATAATATGTCCCTCTTTCAAAAGACATTCATTGAAAAACCAGATAATTAAGTACAATTAAATAAATAAAACAACATATTTTTATATAAAATGGTTTATCGTAGAAATAATGTAACTTAAACACAGTTGACAGTTTATTTTGCTCTGACAGACTGGATGGTTCATGGCTGCCGAGCTTTACCACAGTACATTTGGTACATTTGGACTGCGGTTGCTGCAGTTGTGCACTTGACAGTATTGCTTTTGTGGTTTATTTAGTTGGAGAGAATTGTTTATGTTTGTCTGTCAGCAATAATAAATAGTAGGTGCACAGAAAGGTGAGGCCTCTCTTCAGTTACTAATCGATGGGACTTTTTTTTGTCCGAGATGCTGAAATTGCCCACAATGCATCTAAAGTCCCAAAATATACCAGTATTGTTGAAAACTCATTTCGCTCCTTGCATTTTGTCGGCATGCTTTCTGTTTTTAAACGTGCCCCCAGATGCTCGAGGCCACCTCTGGCCTCAGGCTGTGCAGCTGCAGTGGAGAGGGAGCACCAGCACCAGTCAATTACCAGTTAATAAACAGAGGAAGTTTTCTATTAGTGCTTGTTAGTGCGTGTAAAAGATTGTGGTATGTGGAATTGGGGGAAGTCACTGTGACTCTGGAATTAGAAAAACATAAAATACAGGCATATTTTCTGTGCCTGGTTCTAATATACAGCACCCAGTTCTCTGTACGCTAGCCGTTTGTAGAGATAATATTTGTTATTTGATTTTCATCCGGCTATACAGTCCAATATATTGTATTTGCAAACTCATTTTTTCCCTTTTGAGCAGTGCAGAAGTGTGTGCTCAGTAGTTTCACAGGATGCAGTATTTCAAAAGTGACTATAGAGCACACTCTCCAATAAAGAGAATCCATTACATAAGCATGGTGCAGGCCAAACAATGCAATGCTGGCGGCTGATAACAATATGGGCCCCTGATGAATGTGATGCCTTTTTGGATAGCGACTGTCACAATCTGATGTGTGGTAGACCCCCCCACACAGCTGGGAGCAGACTCCACTGAGCTAACAGAGGCAGAAAGTGCTGGAACGAAACAGGTCACCTGAGAAGGAGGTAAAACAACATTAATTGAATTTGGGGAAGTCATCCTCATTAAGGGGACATTGCTCTGACATCCAAGATTGTGAATCATTAAAACCCTGTCATATTAGACCAGTACTACTAACCAGCACCACCACCACTACATTTGTTGTCATACAGAGCATGAAGCTGCTGCCATGTGTAACTAGGCAAACGTTCGCGGTAGATAAGTCACGATAAATGGACCCATTCTATCCTGTAGGAATGGGTGTAATTGCACATATCTTACATTCATCTTCCAGAAAAGCAATGGATGCTCCTCTGGTAGCCGTAACCACCTGGAGCTAGCATATGGGCAGGCGCCCTCTTGGGGTAATGGGTGGGGCGGCCTCTCTGTCGACCACTGGGTCATTGGTAACCAGCAGCTGGGAGGCCGCCCTCTCATCACATCAACAAATCTCGCTTTAATTAGCTCAGCCGCCCGTTTCCTCCCCACACTCCCCACAGTCCTCCATCAAACCTCCCTCATACGGCTTACAGGCTCACCTTCCCCTCTCATCCTGTCTCCACTCAGGGGAATAGCTTAGGCTCCTCAACATCGCACCTACAGCTCCACACACACACACACACACACACACAGACTAGGATATAAACGAGACTGACAATTGACTTTCAGAAAGCTTGGATCTCATTGATTTTTAAACTGCTACCTTATTAACGCTGGGATGGCCACTGATACGGTTATCGTTGAAGACCTACATTTCCTTTGTGCCTGTTAATATGATTTGCACATTCACAGGTAGGAAATGATCTCACAGGCTTATTGTGCTCATCCAAGCTCCTTCCATTGGCGGTTACAAAGATGTTCAATAAGTAGACCAGGGGGTTTACTGTATTGATCACAGTCACCGTCACTGCACTTTAATGGGAACACAATCTATCCTCGGCTCAGTATCATAGAACACGTACAGCCCTGTGAGCCACTTACTCAGACAATTGTTGCTTCATGTAACAGTCCAAGAGTTTTATCCCAAATTGATAATATGGAAATGATGTCTCACGCTAATTATTGCCCGATTGTGTGGAATTTAAATAATCGTACGAGATGGAATGAAATGCTGTCTCACATTTTTAAGCATAATGGGGTGTCATTAGCAAATAGCTAATTACTTTTACACTGTTCCAAAATGAGATTTCCTCTTTACACCTGCAATCATTTCACAGGAGTGGGCGTCACATTTTTCAAATGGCGGATTTCTCATTAAGGAACAACTCTTTATTAAAACATCAGCTCTTTATCTGAATCATCCTTGTGCACATTCCTGCCTTTGAATACTCATTTAATAGACTCCGATAGAGAGGAGAGATCCCAGTTGTATTGCCGCGCTGACTCTGGTGGGTGCTAATAGAGGAAGCAATCTAGACCCGGGAAGATTGGCCTCCAATACTTCCCTGTCTCAGGTGACAGATAAAATCCAACCACCATTGAAGTACCTGCACAGTCCAGTATAGTGCGTCAGTCCCTCTGGTCCACAGCCACTCTTCCTTTCTTTACCACAGAGCCTCCATATGGACCCACATTATGGCTTCTGCTTAATTACCTATCAAAAAAAACATTTTATTACACTTGATGGGGGACTGGCAGACGGGGAGAGGGAGGAAAAAAGACACAGACAGAGGGAAAAGAGGAGCAGGAGTAAAGCAGATTGAAAGATGGGAAAGAGAAATTGGAAAGTGGAACTGTGAGATTGATATAGGGGACGAGCCACGCATCTGAATTTGAATAGAGGCAGACACAGAGGAGGGAGTGAGGGAGAGAGAAGGAAAAGCCATGTTCTGCAGATGGGGGGGGGGGTGATCTGGCCAGCATCCTTTATTTTTGTTTAGTGTTTACAAACACACCCAATAGAGAGAAAAGGGGGAGGGTCCTGGTCAACAGAGGCTATAAATTACCGGTGATTGATGCTTGCCACCGCGGAGGACGACAGTTAAAGACGTGCGGCGCTCATCGCTGACCCTCCCTCCGCTCCCTCTGTCCCTTCTCCACCCACCAACTCCACATCTCACCCACTGCCACCCCCCACCAACACAACAACACACAATTAGCTGTTCCGTCTGTCACATGGCCCACCCTCAGCGGTTACACACCAAAATAATAATCATTCCCGACCAGAAAGACTGCTGGTCAGACGAGCAGCTCTCACCACGGGGGTTTGATGTACTAACAGCCACAGGCTCTATACTGTAAATGTCAACCTCCAGCATTCCCGCGTGTGTCCAAGGAATATAGATTTCACATATATATTAAGATATAGATCATATGGATTTATTTATGTTTCCATCTGTATGTGTTAGTTTGTTAGGAGGATTCTGCAAGAACTGTTCAGCCACTTTCCATGAAATGTTATCAAGTGGGGGGATATGACCCAATAAAGAACCGATTACATTTCTGTGTGGCTCCGGAGCAGGGAGCTGAATCAAACATTTAACATTGTAATAAAAATAGTTTTTTTTTTTTTATTTCTTTGATTTCTCACAAATTATTTCAAAATCTAATCAAAATCTAAATACAGTGAATTTAAATGTGATTTCATAAGGGGGTTGTTGGGTCTTGGGTTTGGTTCTTCAGGACATTTGTGCGTTCCCACATTTGCTGAATTTCACTTCTAACAATAAATTTACCAGTTACACTGATCCTCCTGCGTCTTTTTAAGTAAATATTATGTATGTGCTGCTCGAGTTTTAAGATTACAATTATATTCAAACTGTATAATCACACACTTGGTAGTGATGCATTTGGAAATAACTTTGTAATTTGATTCATGGTGCTTCAAAGCTGGTAGAACAATCTGGGATATATCCACGTGTATGAACTGATCATTTTAGAAATCACAGAAACATGAAAACCTAAAGCTGTAAATAACATTTATATAGAAAACCATAAACATAATAAGCTGTTTTTATTGTTGGTGTTTTAATGTTGGCATTGAAAGACAAAATAAATTTAACAACCACAGGTTACACACTCATAAGAGCATTGCTGGGTATGTTTGCCATTTTTTGTGAATAGCATTTGACATATAAAATGGCTGTTTTAGATAAAGTGTTCACACATCAAAACAGGAATTCATTGAAGGCTCACAGCAAAAGTTCCTTGACATATTGCAGAACAATGTAAGGTATGAATTTCCAATGGCTCCATTCAGTGTTTTAATAGTGGAACATTTACAGCTCATAACGTGGGTGGAGAACCATCAACCTTCATGTGACGTGACAAAGTTCTCGTTGATGGCAGAGCTGAGAATTTAGATTTCTCATGCCTCCACATAAAAAGTGACAAGCCTGTTGTGTGTTGTGGTAACTTAGAAAGTATTTTATTTTGTGACTCCATCAAAAATAAGTTTGCAGTATTGAGCCGTGATATGTATTTAATCAATATTCATTTTGTCTCTCTCAGCTTGAAGCTGCCCTCCATAATCCTGTGCACTGTGCATTGCTGGGCTTCTCTGCAGCGAGCACCTCCTTACCTCAAGGCTACCTCTGGGTAATGTGTTGCACGTATACACACACACACACACACACACACACACACGCATCCACACACACACACACACACACACATCCACACACTACACTGAATGCCAAACACCTCAAACCATTGACAAGGCAAACATAAATTTACAGTTGCTGAATTTTTTTAGCTTTTACCACAATTACCATGTCATTTTAAACATCCTCTCTTACAACCTGCTCTCGTTAATTAGTAGAGGGAATAAAAAAATATCTCAAGGCTAAAAATGGGACATGCACCATTTTTCACTGTAAAATGTCACCAGGATGCTTTGAATTAATACAGTATAAAGTCTATTGGTAGGTAACTGCTGTGTTTTATGATGAGTAGGGCAAATTGTGCTGCCAGACTTCCGCAGCACAATCTCTGGACTAGGGGGAATTTAGTGGATCTGGGGTAGAGGACCAAAAAACTGAGAGAATCTGCTATAAATCTTTACGTTTCAGTTTTTCGTTCCCTCTCCTTTTTGCAGAAGGTAGGCAATTTATCAGGTAATCCCATTTTGACCTAAAGAAAGTCTGAATCAAGTGTAGGTCCTCAAAGACAAAGAGTACAGTCTTAATTGCTTTTGTTGGGCTTTTGTAAAGAGGAGTGGATGCTCTCTCAGATGGAGAAAAAGGAAATATGGGGGAGCTGGCTTTCAGAGAACTGTGATATCAATGTTTGAAGGGGCATAGGCCACACTGTACCATTACTGATGACTTAAAAGCCCCTGACCTTGTCCTCCAGCACGATTTCAAGAAGCAAAGGTAGGTTGTTGTCATGTGTGTGACACTGGTGGACAAAATGTCCACGTGAGTGAAGGCTAAAGTAAAGACTGAAATCCACAATTTTGTGAAATGTCCGCCTTCAGCTGTCTTTTATAGCATTAATTGTCAAGATAGTGGCATCGAACAAAGGAAGAATTTGGAGCTGAATCTCGAGGAAGGAACGCTAAAGCCAAGTTCACACTACTCGACTTGTGATCTGGAGTCTTTCCGTCGCTGTGAGTTTATACTACATGACTGAGTGGTGATGGGACAACACTCAATTCATGATCTTTCACCAGGAGAAAACCCTGAGTATGTCTGATCTTCGGACTACGTACGATCACAAAAATACTCATGGAAGTGACCTGGTGAGGCTGAATGATCCTCCTGCTCAGGCTGCATTTTTCTGCACGGATCTGTCTGAGCCTGAGAGAAAACTGAGTCAGACCCAAACCCATCAGGCATTCTGTTTGGTCGGAGGCCCAACCTGAGCCCGCTGCGGTTGAGCTACACTGTTTGTTTTACCCTCACAGGCACGGTTATGTGCAGTGTAAAATATCAGGGGATACCTCACCACTACAGGAACCTTCACCTTTGTGCTTTGTTTGGCAGAGTCGTCTAGATATGTAGGATTCTAGAAATGTAGTCAGAGTCTGTGACGTCAGACCCTAAAATTGCGTCTTTGACTTGAAATGCTGATTTGGCCTCCAGTCTGGAGCTTTTGTTAAGGATTGAGCAAAGGGAATTGAAAGGAATCCAATTCTCATGGACCAATTTACTTCACATTCTGTTCCTGCTTCTTGAAACCAACCTTGCAAACAGGACAAGCAGTTCATTGAGTACGAAGCACGTGTGACCTTCTCCCAGCGAATTGTTCTCCTCGGCTCAGTACAACTTCTAATCAACGCAAAAAAACAAACTCGTATCCACTAAAAAACATCATCGCGAAGGCCTGCAGACGCAGCAAGAATAATTAGTGGCTGAGTGTTCCCGCCCCCAGTTGGTTCTACCTCCCTGGCAGGCTTGTCAAATAAGGGATGACACTAATCATGTTAAAGTGAGATGGGCTATGGGGATTTCTGTGTGCTTTGATCAGAGTAATGACATTGTGTCTAATCAGGCTGATAACCCAGTGTTTCCCTTTACCCTCCTTGTCCCACTTTCCCCAACATCCTTCTTCTTATATGTTAAAGTCTTTTTGTTAACTCACTCCATATGTTTCTCATCTTATACATGTATACAGGACAGTATTTAGCATTCATAGTACCAGGGACTCTAAATAAAAATTTTTAAGTAGATGGACATTCTGGTGATCCATGGTTTTGGCTTCGTAACGTGGTAAATACAATCGAGAACAGTGTGCTGTCATGACTGTTCTCCCAGGCTTCCTCACTGTGTCCAGAGCAATGTAATTAATACTGGCAGAGCATTTACTGTTCGGAAAGTTTTTGCTTCCCTCAAACTGGGAGGAGAAATCTGTCCAGGGCACAACTCCAGACATCTATTTCTTCAAATGAGTAGTGATGACTTTGTCAGGACAGTGTGTTTGCATCGGATGTGGGGGGCTGGGGGTGTGATTAGTGGTGATGATGGTGTGTGGAAGCGTTTGGGAAGGCACAGATAGACATGTAAGGAGGAGGCTGGGTGAATGGGGGCCTTGCCTCTGGCTTTGGTTCCACAAAGTCACTTGAAACTGTGGTTTTTTTTTCGGGCTTCATGCTGCAAGATAAGTCCTCCCTATCTTCTTTTCACCCTGTGCAACAGACCATTATTTGTTCTGGCTCATTCTCAAGAGCCCACAGGATCGCTCCCGTCCAGATTCTGCACGCTGATACAAATCAAACAAATGATTGCATGCAAATAAGGGTGAGCATGGAGGAGAAGAGCTAAAGACTATATTTAGCTCATGTCACATTCACACGATGTGATTCATACGGAGAATAAATCTTCACTGTCGAGCAGCAAGCAGCCGATATCTTTTCCAGGAAGGGCTTTGTATTTTGTCTGGACATCCACCTAGGCCTAACGCAAGAATAATGAATGAGATTATATTGAAAACCCACAGCGGCAATTTAATTGTTTGGGAATAGAAGCAATGCCACCTTAATTGGAATTGCATCAGAGATAGGTTGGAGGGCTCCTGCCGTCTTTGTTTTCTCAGCATTGGCATTGACAGGCTTACACAAAGACCAATATAAATGTGGGACATAGAAAATCAAGTCTCTATTGAGGCAGACAGTCGGCCTGTGGGGTGTGAATTACCTTGGGAAGCTTGTTGTGATTGGGGGACCTGTTTTGATAAGGTTGTTGTTTGTTTGAGAGGTTGTTTCACAACTTGTTTTTTCCGAGAAGGGAGAGACATCTATGGGCGTGGACTGCCAGAGTCCACAGTGAGAGCTTTCAGCAGCTCGGTTCGTACACTTCTGTGAACTTCTTTATTGGTACTGAGGATAGTATCTTCAAGTGTTAAAATCAGATGTCGGATCAAGTGATTGATTGATGGGTTGTACCCGAGAAAGATTTTTGTCAAAGGAAAAGAGGCAGCTCACTGTGCAGATACTTCTGGGGACAGAAATGGGTAATTTAGCTTGAAAGTTGTGATTCCACACTATCACAATATTGCATTGGTATTTTCCATGAGCCTGACCATGAACTGATCACTATCTAATGTTCAACAACATTGTAAGGACTTCAGATTAATAATGATATCTTCAAAAACCAAAGACCAAACCCTCTGGAGGTTTGATGACGTTATACTTTGGTAATAAAATATTTACCAAGTTTAAACCAATTTAACCTTCAACAATCACATATCACACTTATTATTTTTTAAATGTGGGATAGCATAGAGTTTAGATTAATATGAATAGAGCTTTAAAACAATATGAGAGCGATTTCTCTGTGACCTAATGAAGTCGAAGTAGCAGACCATCATAAAAATCTAAATGGGGTCAGCACATATCTCCTCTACTTGCAATCAGACACATTTCACAGCTTCACAGGTTCCAAACTGTATTAAAACCTATGACAATGCAGCCTAAGAGTCCTATAATGTAACATGGAAAGACCTCAATGCCCCTCAAGACTCTCTGACTGACAAAAGAATGCTCAACTTGAAGAACTCCACTTGATCGAGGGTTTTTTGAAGTGGCCTCAATCAATCATTACAAAACTCTTGAGGGCCACTTTTTATTACCTGCGGCATTGCAACTCTCTGCAGTTCAACATGGGGTCTTGTACATTTTAACAAGACGTTTTTTGTCTCCACACAGGTGTCTGGCAGAGGTGAAGGTTCACAGGGGCAGATAGAGATATTTTCCCTCAACAGGCCCTTGCCTCGGGCTGTTAAGAGCCTGCAGGTGGACTCTGCTGTCCGATGTCTGGAATATGTACCTGAACCTGCTCAGGCGGATGAGATGGAGGCTGGAGTTCACAAGGCACCCTCAGGGATCGGCGCCAACATTTGTGTTGGACTAGACGATGGCCGGTGAGGACACAAATACATTTTCTATAAACAACTTTATCCAAAATGTTTCCAACAATCTATAATAATTTCAAACACCGGAGAAATCCCCAGTTTTAGTGAAGTGCACAGGACCTTCAGTGTTCTTCACCTTTTAAAAGAGTCAGATCTACTTTACCCATGACTGCTCGTCTCTGCTAAAACTATGATGTATGGGGAAAAAAACTGCTAGCCAGTTAGCTAGTCGGCTGTTTTTTCCTTCCACTGTTTGTATTGGTCACTTGTAATAGCTCACATGTGAATAGAACTTGAACGCAGGACCTCATTTGCCTCATAGAGATTAAAGTTTTCCAACGACAATGGGAACAGCAGCGTTTCCAGTAGCTTCTTTTGGTGCTTGAAAACTCCGGCACCAGGCGTGAACATTGATGTGAAACTAAACTGTCAAATACATGCAGCTCGATATTACAGAAATGAACAGATACTGTGTAGAAACAGACAAAAGAAAGCCTTTGTGCAGAAATGGCAAGATCACAAATTATGAAATCAAAACGTATTTTCATCATCAAATAAGAACCAGAAATATTAACATGAGAAGACAAATACTTTTCAACGTGCTTCAATCTGCTGTTGTATATTATCTTCCTGTTTTATCCGGTGCTTTGCTCCCTTGAGGTTTCTACCTGTATAGATTTGCTTGTCAATATTTCATCAAAGCAAGAAATCAGAGCTGATGCCTCAACACAGCATCAATACTGCCACTGCTGCTAAGATCAGTTTCATTTTCAAATCCAATAAACCCCCTGATCCCTGCTGTTTGTAATAGACCAACGGTCTCCTGTCATAGTTACAGTGAATAAATTGTTTTCTCTTTCAGGCAGAGAATATTCTTGGATTTTAGACGTACCTGTTATGTTTCTGTAATTCTCATTTACTGAAGTGTTCAGTCATTAGTTTAAGAATTGTATGTCAGCAGTTTGTTTTACGCTGACTCATTCTCTTCCAATCCGATTGTCTGTCCAGGGAAATGAAAAAAGACAGCAAAAAAAAAAAAAAAAAGAAAGAAAATAATTTCAGCACGCTCAGAAAAAAATGTCATCTCCACTTCTACTTGACATTTTCTTCTCAGACTGACAGAAACAAACAAGCAGCAATGTGCATTTGTCATTCTGGAGAACACAATAAGATGTAGCCGCGTTCAGATGGGATTTCAAACATGAGAAAGACAGAGTGGTTGCACACACACAATTCTTTGCTCCAAAGTGAACTGTTAAATCAAACCGCATGAAAACGAGCCACTCTGTCATTTTAAATGACGCTCATTTATCATGTTTGCTTGTGCCGCTTTTGTTCCTCTAGCATCCTGGTCTATGGCAGCGTGGACACCGCAGCACAGTGCCTATTGACCCTGCGTAACCCAGAGGGCTGCCCTGTGCTGTGCCTGAAGCAGTCGTCCCGCTTCCTGTTCGCTGGCCTGAGGAACGGCACCATGATGGTTTATGGAAGAAATAACAGTGGTGAGATGTTTGTTGTTTTGTATTTCAGACTTATTGTTGGAGTGTGGATGTAGCGTCTCACTGTGTGGGGGTCTGTCGCAGGAAGTGACACTGTGTCGTCCTGAGTACAAAACATGCTGCATGTTAGGGAGGACGATAAATATTTAAAGCTGGAGTGCGAGACTTCTACACACAAATGAAGGTCTGTTGCATTTTAGTCATTGCCAAACAATGCTGACCAAATCTGCCAGCGCCCTCTATCTGTACTTGCCAGTAGTGGTGCTAGCTACAGCAGCTTGGAGTATAGCGGGAAAACTGAGGATGGGTCAGAAAAACGTTGATGATGCTCCCAATAAAACAGAAACAGTTCAGAGGTGAGAAATTATTCTGATGTTCACCTGTATGCGTAAGTCATAAATGCGCGTAAACATTTTTTTTTGTCACACTGCCAGAAGAGAAGGACAAAAGTTCCCCATATTTCTTCTTTTGAATAATTTTTCTATTGTTGAAAACCTGTTTTGAATTCATATTCACGCTTGCTATTTGTGTTTGTATAACAGAGAAGGGAAGAAGAGAGAATAGGGCTCCCCTGAAACCTCTTCGTATATATTTTTATTAACACAATTGGTTTTGCATAAGACTATCTATGTTACGAGTCACCCATACAGACTTTCATTTGTTATTTTTTCAGAAAAAAAACTATTTTTCAGAATGTTTGTTAGTAAAATTATAATAGAATCACGTTAACCTAAAATCACTTTTCCCTTTTATGCTGTATTTCCTATTCCTGGTGATTTTCACACCAGGTGTAAGCATGTAAATAACACCTCCCCATGTGGTGGATGGCGTGCCATGTCTAGTCAGGCATTGCACAAGGCCAGGAGGGCTTAACACCATCTCAGCAGTAGTTTTCTGTCCTCGCAGCCAGCGGGAGCACAATGCTTCCATCACCAGGTTCTTTTTTACCTGGCTCCAGTAAATCAACATGCCTGCCTTCCTCCTGTGCTCCTTTCTCCTCCCAAGCAGAAAGGATGATTAATTACACCAAGCTGCATGCCGATTAAATATTACTATTCATGCTTTGTATGTAAAAAAAAAAAAAGAAAAGAAAAAGAAAAGGACAGGAGAAAAGCTTTGGAGGGTGCCAGGGAATGTTTGTGGATTCTGCACATCTGTTAAAGATTGATGCCTTTGACTAGCTTGCTAGTGTCTAAATAACAAGTCTGAAACAACCAGAAAATGCAGAGGCTCGAATTGAGAGCTGTGCTCGCTGAGATGCACATCGGACATTGTGTTAAATGCAAATGAAAATACTCCACAAGATGAGGCAGAGAAGCTTTATTTGATGCAGTGTTAAACAGGAAGAAGCATCAGTGTGGTCCTGTCGTGTGCACGGGGCCAGAGGGACATTTACAAGAGTAAAATTTGAAAAGGTGGAAAAATGACCTTTATAACACACCAGGCAATTAACCTGTGGAAGTCAGGAGCCATAGTAAAGCTATTCTGCAATGAAAGGCAGAAATAAACAACTCAAAATGTTAATTAAATGGCTGGATGCACTCCCTTCTGTAATTTTGCTTCATTAACGCATATAGCAAAGGAAATGCTTATGTAATTCGCTTCGTAATGTGCTTCTGTTGTGGCTGCAACGTGCACTATGTGATTAAAACGAAAAGAAAAAAGGGCCTGCTCCATTTTCACAATGATGAGGCAAAAAAAAAAAAAAGAGAGAGAGTGAGCGAGACGGCGAGGGAGCGAGGGAAGAAGTTGGAAAGTGGATTAAAGTGTACACCAGAGTTATTAGCATGTGGGTGGCGAACGCTGTGCAGCTCAGTGTGTGGTGATTCAAATGGAGGTCCAAGTCTTTATTTTGTCAACCTGTAGTTCTCGTTCTCGCACATATTTGTTTTTTAATTAAAGTGAAATAAAAGGAGCCTCCACTGTGAGCCTGCTTCACTGATGCTTTAGTAATTGCTTAATAACATTTAACTGCTTTAAGAATATTTTTCAAAATAAATACCAAGGTATCTTGCTGCAATACAAGTGGGGGGAATTGAATGTAATTGCCTCACTCAATGTGACAGTGTTGGAATAGAAGCAGGGTTTATTAATATGATTTTAAGCCAGCTGTGATGATAGCCATTGATTTTTTTTTTTCCTTTCAGTATTTTTTGCCGCTCACAGTGTTCTTTGTTTGCTTTTGCTCAGATGATCTTTGGGAACCTGACTCGTGCAGATGTGTGAACCTGGGCTCAGAACCCGTCCGGACGCTGTTGGTATTAGACGACTCGGTGTGGGCGAGCTGCGGGAACTCTGTCACAGTCGTGGACGGCTCCAGTCTCAGCACTCAGGTAAATAACCAGGTCACTGCTGGGAACATGCGACCTGTAGACCACCACAATTTTTCATCTGAGGAAAAACTGCCTCAATCTGAGCAGACCTTTAGGATTGTGGATTGTTTATCTTATTAAAAAAGAAATTTAAAAAATCTGTGTGTGTGTGTATATAAATAAATAATAATATAAATACACACACATAGATGTATATATAGTGATAGATATGTAGATAGATAGATACACACATAGATATAGCTGTCCCATATTAAATGCAATCAAGTATAGCTCAAATAAAGTGTCCTTTTGTTTAAATAGTTATTATACAGCACTCTAGCACTAAGCTGTATTTTATTTTTTAAAGCATTTCAACAATATTCCGAAAACGATGAAGATTATTATATCCATCGTTTCAAAAGCTTTTGTTTGAAAGAACTCTCTTGCAAGGTCAACTCCTCCAACATCTCAGACAAATATTCTCATTCTTTACTAAAACATGGTTTGAAGACCTAAATGGATGAGTTCATAAGTGAAACTGAAAGACAAGGTGGGGTTTTTTTTCACAGCTTTGAGGAAAATTTCCTCTCATCTTATTTTGTGAAAAGATTTATGCAGACAGCCTTAGAGAGCCAGCTTTCTAATCTGTGATGTCATCGAGATTTACTGCCTGGAGCCGCTGCATGGACAACGAAGTCAAAGATTCATATACAGTGTTTGTTGTAGGGCTTCCATATACAAATAAGCTTCATTTTGCTGAAGCGCTCTGAGTTATGTTGCAGGAATGAACACCATTATCTCCAGAAAATCGTCCTGGGTCTCGTCTCTGTCATGCTTTCCTTTTTTTTTTTGTGTAGTCTTTCTCCAAGGTGTTCATCTGTACTGTGTGTCGTTAGATTTGTACAGGGGGATGACTTCCCTAGCTGTGGTAGACGATAATGAATGGCAGGAAACAAACTCTTCTGGGTAATGTTAATGTGGTATTCAGATGCTGAGCTGCAAACCATTACCATTTAATTATGTATCCCAGATGTGAGTGTGCGTAGCTGTATAAACGGGTAAAGGCTTTTGGCGGAAACAAGCTTGTGTGCCGAGCAGACCTTCCCTGGTCAAATAAAAGTTGACTGATAAAAAATATGATGCTGAATTTGAATTTGAATAAACCTAACAAAGTAAAACACTGCAAATCAACACGATACACGAGTCTCTGTGACCGCAGTGTAAAATCTGTTTTCCATTCCCAGAGCAGAAAACAAATGAGCTACATTTCAGGGGAAAAGGGGAACAAACAAAGTGGCAAAATGCTACGGTGGTACAGTGGTACTGTCATCTCAGTTTGAATCCTGTTGCAATGTCAGCTTAAAGGGTCAGTGTGTAGAATTTAGTGACATCTGGTGGTGAAGGTTTGTGCTGCAGCTGAATACCCCTCACCTCACCCTCCCCTTCCAAACATGGCAGAGAACCTGTCGTCATAAAACTCAAAAGGTTTAGTACGACTTTAAGAACACGGAGGACCCGCTGCCGAAGTAAATATAAAGTATTTAAATATAAAAGGCCCATTCCAGGGTAAAGAACACAACAATTCGTACAATTTAGATGAAACACACTAGTGAAAACATCACTAGCATTATTTTATATTCAATTTCTGCCAATAGATCCCTTTCACCTAAATCTTACACACTGAACCTTTAAAGAAAAGCAGTGTAGATAATAAATGGACGGATGCATAACTTTTATTTTGAAATTAGAGATATTTTGGTTGACATCCTGTCATATAGAAAATCGACATCAACATGCAAGTAACAAGCTCATTTTTGATTGTATAAACCACAAAGTTAATTGGTATTAAAATGCATCTCTTTTAAAAGAAGCAACAAACCATAAGAAGCAGCTGGCGAATTTGGACGATCAATCCGGCGACAGATGCTCCTCCAGTCTGCCTCAGGAGCCACATATTTCGGAGAGAGCTGAGTCGGGGATGTCTCCTTTTATTCCTTCACCTCTTTTGCCTACCGCAGTCCTCTGGAGACATGAGCTTAATCAGCTGAATAGCCATGCAGGAGAGCCACGGTTCTGGTTCACTGTATCTCCCACAGAGCTTAACGGGTCAGCTCTGGTTACTTCTTTGCTAACCTTGTCTTCCGCACTAATGTGGACTCATGAGGGCTGACTTCACAGGGGCGTCGGTGCATATCCAGGATCTGGAGAAGCAACACTTGGCACCTGTAGCGAGAGATATGACTCGGAGCGCGGCTGGAGGGTCACGGATTCTACTCGCTTCCCCCATTCGTTGTTTTCCCCTGCGGATGTTCGCCATTTTGTCAGATTTGCAGCACGTTTGAATCATTTATCCATGACTTTGGTGGACAGCGCAGCCCGTCTCGCCTGACACCTCCGATCCCTGCACAGTGCTACTTGGCATGAATCTCTTTTTAAATCTTTGCAGTCGGTGCCTTGGCGCTGCAGGCTCATTCAAATATCAGTCTGTTTTGGGTAAACATGCAGACATATGCTGTTGAAATTGCCTTTATAAGAAACACAAAGAATCGTCACGACTGAAACATTTGTGCGTAGTCTCGGCTTTGTACTATTCAATTACGCACACTCTGCTGGGGATTGATGGAAATTATAGGGCCGACAACACCTCAGCAACACAATGAGGTAAAAGAAGAGGGACAAATGTAGCAGACGGTAAAATAATTGTTTCATCTGTTTTAACATGCCAATATTTTAGAAAGATCTCACAAAGCCTCAAAATAATACCTCAAATGAGACTTCACAGCATCACAGTCAAGACTTCACAGCCATGCTTGCAGTGTGTTGTTCTTTGAAACAGTTTTGCTTTTAGCTCATAATATGTTGATGTTCAGAAAATATAAATGTTTACCACCATTTTATATTATAAGTATTTAAGACGGATTTCCAAGGGGCCTGATTCAGGAATTTGTTTTACAATGAAAAGTCACAGGTTTACCGAAGTTATGACAATATGTGTTGGCTATCGGCACTAGATGTCATGGTATTGTCACTCATCCAAATGTGAGCATGATTGTCATTCTGAAACCAAAAAAGTACATTTGCTGGTGGCACTAGAATATGGTTCAATAACATCATTAGGATTAATCACCGGGGAATGCTGAGATATTTCAAAGAGCAGCTTCATTTCCCGCTGATGGAATCTCGGAATTTGGCTGAAGAATGGATTAAGAACGTGATATATTACCGTAAATTTAAAATCCCAGTGGCCAACCAAGATACTGCAACATTAACAACATTCTCCGGGAACCAAATAGCAGCGTCTCCGGCTCTTACTCCTTCTCTCCCGTCTTTTCGTTTGAAATTATCACAGACATTGGGGGAAGCTTGCTTCACCACCAGTTTTTTAAGAAATAGCTCAGTGACAACACTTATTGACGTGTGAATATGTTGATACCAAATTATGTTCTTCCAGAGAATCAATAAATTATAGAGCGATAAACCTGATTCACATTCTCATCAGGCAAAATGAAGTGGAGAGAAAATGAGATTTGGGAATTTATTTTGTTTTGTCGTCACACAAAAGAGACGTATTTGATTGACTGTCGATAATGTAGTGCTTTGTTTGCTTCTTTGATTTTTGCAGAAATATAATTTTGTTGAAATCCACCAACACTTATCGTCGTATCAGGATTCCAGACGCGTCTCAGCCTCGTTCAGAATTTTCTAAGAGTCGATCTCCTGACCTCCACATACCAAGGCCCCCTGAAGAGCACCTGTAATTTAAGGCAATGCTAATGAAGCAGGACATACATGGGCATACAAGCATTGATCAATACTGACTGGCAGACCTTGTTCCATCCTCTTCCCATTACTTCTCTTACTACCTGCTCTCTCCTATCACTCACATGTCTACGACTGCCTTCACCGCAGCTCAGAGTGGAGATGTGGACTTAGCACTCGGGAAAGGCAGCGACACCTTGTCACCTGACGTAATGAAGGACTAATGAGCTGCTCAGACAGGCTGCAGTGTGAGGAGCTGTGGCTCGGCTGGCGGAGAACTATAAATGGGGATGTTGTTGTTAGTGTGACACTGCGGAGTCAAGTGGAAAGGGCACATTACTACTGTCAGGCTTCACTGACCACCTCATCTCTGTAAGCAACACTGGACTCAGCAGACTTATGCCAGGTTGTTGGTCGGCGGCAGCAGGAGGGGCTTGTATTTATCCTGTATTTGACACAACGCCGCAACATATCCAGTCTATACCCTTGATTTAGACTGGAGAATTCTATTTTTTAACCAGGATGACACCCAGGCCTTATGGAAACACATTTAAATTCCCTAGTTCTGGATTTTTATTTAGAACCACTCCAAATTACCCACACTCCCATAAACATGTCCGATGTGTTTCATCGTGATCCATAAAGTGCAAACGTGGACGAATCTCACAAAGTTTAAGAAAGTGGGAAAAAAAGTTCCCCGATCCGCCCCCTGATCATGATCCGTACAAAACGTTTGTGGATTCTAGCACAAGTTTCTGTGGTAATCCCGTCAGTACTTTTTGCATAATCCTGCCAACTATGAGACAAATGCAGACAAACACATAAACTCCTCGATGAGGGTAAATATTGACTTAAATGTAAATTGATATTATGTAAAAACATTTCTTACAAATCCGTTATTTTCACACGTTTTCAGGCTCTTTTTGTTCACTCAAGTCAAATAAGACATCGTGCTTCACAGAGTGCTTTACAGGTGATTGTAAACATGTGGCGAGGAGGCATTAAACCGTATGACAGCCATTCATCAGCTGGAAATCCCTTTCAGAGCCGCCACACTTGATTCATTTGATATAATGATTCACGCGATAATAAAGCAGCACACACAGTGGGACTGAGATATTCTTTACACAACTCTCAACCCTTTTGAATTGCAAGGTGGTGTGTTTTTTCTCATGGATTTCTAATATTTTGATGGCTGCACTTGAATATCACAGAGCTGCACTGCACGTCCTTTCTGTGGCGGAGCCGGCGCTCGCTGCTGAGGAGTCAATTAACAGAGAAAACACATCAAAGCCTTCTTCTTTTCCTTTTCCCTAATGTCAAACAAAGGAGAACCCACTGGCAAGGGCACACAAACAGGTGGTAATCCCTGTCCGCCGGTGCACCCGGTTTGGGCCGCGGGGTTGCATTCTCATCCTCACCCACTTGCTCTCATTGACTAATTGCCCAGCCTCATGCAACTCGTGCATTGACAGTGATATGAGTTCCAAGATGATGCCCGAACCAGCCCTTGTCACGCCTCGGACCGCAGGGGCTGCATGTGTCGCTATGATAAGGCTCGTTGCATTTATTTCAAGCTACTCATTAAGACTGTGCCTGCAAAACTCTCTTTTTTTCATTGTGCTCTTAAAAAAGATGGAAGCCAGGGGACTGGTGCAAAAACATGTGTCAGGGACTTTGTAAATGACAAAATTAGGAGACACAGTTTGGATTTATTTACAGAAAAATCAGTGCAGAGGGACGAGCGAACATAAGATTCAGCAGGACGTCTGATGACCTCATGATATAATTGTGACAGTTATCTTGTTATGTTTGGAAAAATAACCACTGCAACAAATCAACTTGGACATGACTGTCACAATAATCAATAAATGGCGTGCCAGAAAAACTGTCTCTAATGAAGCGAGAGACGCTCAGCATACGTCTTTTATTCTTATTCACTTTGTTTGTGAAATATATAATTTGGAAATAATAACCACAAGCTGGTTCAATTATTAAAGGAAAAATAGCCGTGACGCTGCTAAACTCCTCAGAGAATAAAAGGCTAAACTGAAAAAGACCAAAACAGCTTTTGAAAAACTGGCTCTGAAGCTGCTATTCTTCAAGTCCACAGAATATATGGAGGAAAAAATCCCCCAGATAAACCCAGAGAGAGCTAACCTTTCAGTTTTAGAAATGTTTTGTGTCACACAAATGAAAAATGTGTTGATAATGTGTGTGATTTTCCTCCTGTGTTGCTGTTACGTACGACATTCCAGAAGTTTGAAGTCCATCCGGACCCGATGGTCAGCGTGGCACACATGGCGTGTGCTGGTGGAGGGGTGTGGATGGCGTTCTCCGAGGGCTCCTCCATTCGTCTCTTTCACACGGAAACGCTGGAGCTGCTGCAGGAAATCAACATCTCCACGCGGTCGACGCTGCTGAACACTGGTACGCACGTCGTCACGCATCACACCTGGGTCCTCGACATTAGTAAAGTGACATTTTATGGTTTCGAAAGGTTTTATCTTGGCTATATTGTGCAGCGTCTGTGTCCTGTGGCGATGATGACTGCAGATTTCTTTTCTCTGACCGGCAGCAGTACCGACTGCTGCTCGACCGCTGCTGCAGAGAGGAGCCGTTCACCTGTTCATTCAAAGTTCATGAATTTTCAAATTGCACCAAATTCAACACCGCACCTCTTCGGGCCCAGACAGACAGATTTAGTCAGAATTAATGGATAGATAAGAGGATGGGAGGATTCTCATTTAACACTGATGAAGCTCTCCTCTCTACAATCTTATTCTTCCCTTGTCCGAGCTGCTCTCTGGGTCTTGCCCTCGGGAGACTGACCTGAATAATATCTCAGGCCTTCACAGAGCCATAATAGACTCAGGGACTGATAAAAAAAAAAAAAAAAGGAATCCTCCGAAGAAACATTCAGCGGTGAAAAACAACATCTGGCGGGGAGAAGGGGAAAGCTTAAACCTGTCACTCAGACAGAGCACAGATTCAAAAAAAAAAAAAAAAAAGAAATAAAGACATTGAGCTGCATTTAAGATCTTCATACCAAGGGTTCCCATGGAAACACTCTTGTCTTTCTTTAAATGTTCATGCGTCTGTGATATCTTGCCCATTTTAGCTCGTTTTCTCCGCACGTACCTTCCCACTTTTTTCCCTTTGAGTTAATATTTTGCTTTCTTTTTGTCCCACTTTCTCTCTCTCGCTGCCTGTTTCATCTTCTCCGCTCTGCTTTAAAAAACCCACTCACCCCACTGCAGTCCATTTAGCTTGCCTCAGATAGTCCATTACTTCCTGTGTGACTTCCTTCATGATGGATGAAATATTTATCAGCCAGTGTTTTTCTCTTTTTTCAGGGATGAGCCATAGTAAACAAATTAGATCCTAATGAAGCATACCTAAAACTGTCTAATGGTGATAACAGTACTTCCCTCCAACATGTCTAATGTTGTGGGCCATCAGCTCGTTCAATACCGAGTCGTGTGAATGCATTTATAATATATTGTCCCTTTCGTTGATCCACACCAGACTGTGATTGATGTATTTGGAGCAATACTCAAAGCTGAGGTAGCACTCCACCTCCTCCTCTGAAGGAAAAAAAAAAAAAAGGTTTTCTCCTGCGAGTTGAGTAAAAGAGTAAAAAGCAGCATGCGTTTCAGGCACCAAACTTTTCTCTTGTAGATCAAAGTAAAGAAAAAGACTTTAAGGAGCACACACTCCTATGGCCGTCGTATCTGGTGATCCAGAGGTCGTTTTCATCCGGCACCAGCGCTTCCCCTTGAAATATGCAGCAGATTTGAGGGAGGGTGGCAGCCTGGAGGCTCGGCCCTGGGGGAAGAAACAAGGTCAAGAGAAAGAAGAAAAAAAGAGATGCTCGGCTCATGTCTTCAGGGTCCACGGAAGGAGGAGGATGTTTGACTTAAGTTGTGATTTGTTGAGCTCACAAGAGGAAAGAGCTTCCCCCGACACTCGACAAGCACAGATACCGCACATGAAATACTGATAGTTTCTCTCTGTCAATAGGTCTCCGCTCCCATAGGTTTCTCCTTGACTTATGCTAGGACATGCAGTAATGATATACCCCCTAATCCTCTCCCCTTAATGTGATTTATACTCAATAGGGAATTTCAGTTGCAGTAAACAACAGAAGTTTCTGTGGCAGCGGAAACTGCTGATCTCCTCTCTACTAATGCCTTTAATAGTTCTGTCCTCCGGGTGAGGGGATAATATTCCAAAATAAAGTCCTCAGTGACATATCACAGAGAAACATTTATCTTTAGAGACATCGTCTTTTTAAGGCAAATACCGGCTCCCACGTTAAACCCACTACACACTGCACACACTCGAGGGTGTGCATTGCTGCAAAAACTGAAGGTGCAAGATTGCTCGAGGTTAAGCTATACCTCCTTAATCTCAAGTGTCTTCATCATTATCCATCTTTATCGCCGTTCTTAAAGACAATGCCTGGCGCGCACATGCCCCGACTTAACTTCAGATTTCATGGTAACCCAAAAGTGGGTGTTCATGAGCACCGCTCTCTCGCTTAAGCTCTCAAACCAGAGTACAAATAGGCTCTGGGGCGGTGTGAGCAGGTGGCAGACAGTTTGGAGATAAAGGCTGTTTTTTTTTTTCGCCGGCGCCCACCTCACTCGTGACCCTCCAAGGTCTCCACCTAAAGGCGTCTGCTGATGGTGCTCCTCCGCTCTGCCTCCACTTCCTCTTGCGCAGTCAGCTTCCTACTCGGGATGATGATTCATCTCCGCACAGCCCAATGAATTCTTTAATGACACTGTTGAGCCGCTCATGCAAATCGTCATAATCTGAGCATGACTCTGAACAAACATGTAGCTACACATGTAAATGAGCATTGTTTTAGTTGTTGACCAAGAGTGTCGGTGTAATTCAATTACCCGTTGCCATGGATATCACGGGAAATGCGTCTAAAGATAACTAGGCCACAATGGGAGCGGAGAGCTGAGGGAGCGCAGAAGGAATGCAAAAATAAATTCAAAACAAACAATGCTTTTTTTTTTTCCAGCCCTTTGTTAACTGGAGACAAAGGATGTGCATGTATAATAAGAGCGTGCGATTGTCCTTTTCCCCGTCACTAATGCTGTGCAGCAAAAACTCTTCGGTGCTGGAAAACTTCACAACAGAGAACGTATGTTGACTCTGGCGTCGTTCGCTGTGACAGGATGTAAAAACGTAACTTCACACAAAAAAAAAAAACCTGCTGCTTAAATCTCACCCAGGAAGGGAAAAGAAAATCACCACGAGTAACTTCCTCTGTCGCACTTTCAGCAAACCTCATAATGTCAACTTGATACGTCTCATCTAATATCAGACTACTTACGAGACAAGAAGGAAAAAAACAAACCTCTATATTATCGCATATATTCTATATTTCTATATCTGCTGTTCGTCTGTTAGTGTTTTATTTGGACACTAAACCAAAACACTTGAAGCAACAACAGCTTGTTACGTTGTTCAACGACAGCCGTTGTAACTGAAATGAAGAAAGGTCAGGAAGATGTCAGTGTTTGACTGTATTGACCTCACGGCCTGAGAGGCAGAGCTGAATGAGTGAATTGTATATAACACTCCTCTAATCTTAACCACCACTCGATGTACATCACAGGTCACACTCACCCATTCACACACACTGACCTCTGCACACTGCCTCTCTCCCACACCGTTTGTGGTAGAGTATTTTGCCTGAGGACATTTAGACATGCGGAACCAGAGGAGTCGGGGATCAAACCACCGACCTTCCAATTAGTGGACGACCCATTCTATGGCCTGAACCACAGCTGTCCCCCCACTGGACCAGAGCACACCTGTGCGTGCAGGGTTAAGTTGCGGCTCGTCTCGAAGGTTACGCGGCCACAGTTTCAACTGACAACACGATTAAATGTTAAACTGACTTTATGAATAGTTTCATCATCTGGCCAAACACCTAGATACGTATTATTAGAGTAATAGTGCAGTATGTGCTGGGTTGTAATTGGAACAGTAAGAAACACAGGAAATGGAAAACCAGTATTTGGTTTGGTATTTAATATGTTTCTGTTATGAATCATTACATTTAGAATATATATAGAATATGATTCCTTTTATTGTCATTACAGAGTGTACAACTACATTTTAGCAGCAAACCTCAAGGTGCATAATATAAATATAAAATAAAATTTAAAAAAGTGTATATATGAGGTAGAATATAAAAATATTAAAGCAGATAATTTAGCAAATAAATTTGTATGAGTACATGTAGTGCAATTCAGTATATTTATTATAGCAAATGAAGCTCGTCAAATAGGCGAGGTTATGAAAATAGCAGCCTGTGAACGCAGCGCGAACTGTCCAATAATTACATGTCGGAAGAGTGAACATTAAATATTATGACGTTCTGCTGCTTTTTATCTTTACTACTAAACATTAGTTTGGTAGAAAAAACGAGTTAAAAGGAGACGCTATCACTTTTAAATGTTTTATTTCCTCCGAGTGTTTTTGAAGGTCTGCAAAGTTAAAAGATTTTCACATGTCAATATGAAAACGCTCTTTGAGTTCTTAATGCCTCTCCTGCATGACAGACATGTTCACTTTATTTATAATTGGATCTTTAGATGCTTCGTCAAATATATATAAACTTCAATGAACTGCAAATATTCTTTTCTTTCCGCACCTAAGCTGAGAATAGTTCTGATCTAATCTGTGTGGAATGTGTGTAGAGTTAATTTGAGAAGATTAACGGTGTCTTTCATTCCACCGGCACCCCTGTATGTCAGTTTGGCTGCGTACAAGAAGGAGGTGAAAACCTTGGAGCTCAACATTTCTAAAACCACTCAGATCTGAAACACAGGTGTATCATACTGAGAGTGTGTTTTTCTCTACTTTGTGCTTTTATGATAGTTTGTCTTTCAACTGGGTCAGTAGCAATTCCACAAATCCAATTTTTCATAATCTTATATAACCCAGAGCCCTGGGTGGCTGTGCTGTGCATGTGTGTTAAGCTTGTCAGATACAGATTGATCATAGAGCTTAAACTCTTCTCAAAGCTAACGCTGATAACTTACAATGAATATCTTTCTTTTCTTTTTTTTCATCAAGCAAGCTCTGAAGAGTCACTTTCCCAAATGCCCCTTTTATCAGAATTCACTCTCTCACAGAAAACACCAGAATCTGTCGTAGTTTTATGCGACGCCTCGTTTTTATATATTGACGCGTGACTTTGTCTGTTGTTTTCTTACGTCGCAGGTCCGAAGAACATGCGAGTCACGAGCCTCCTGATTTGCCAGGGGCTGTTATGGGTGGGCACTGCCCAAGGCTTAATCATCACTCTCCCTGTTCCCAAACTGGAGGGCATCCCCAAAATAACAGGTATGGATCACAGGAGGGGGCGGACGACTGTGACTGAACAGCCTCTTCAGAGGTCAAAAGAGAAGCCAAGAGGTTTTTTTCATGACAGAAAATTACTCTGCTCTGCCCATTATTGAGGTCACACTTCACATTTTTCTTGTGGCTCTGGGAATCAGAGCAAATATTACCAGGCAGGCATCACACAAATCACACTGTATATATTCTCATGCAGGGTAATTTGAAAACCTGCCCGGCGGCATTTTGTTTTTCTTCTACCAAGTGAAACTGTAGGTACCATCCATAAATTACAATCATTCCAGATAACTTTTGATGATCCGAGGTTTGGTTCCAGTCATTTTCACTCTTTAAAGTGATGTACCTGTCAGCGAGGTGACCTCAGCCCTGTCGAGAAGCAGTGTCTCTGTGGAAAATGTTTGAATATTCTGTTGCTGCCTTTACAGGAAAGGGCATGATCTCTCTAAACGCCCACTGCGGCCCTGTGGACTTCCTGGTAGCCACCACCAGCACCCTGTCTCCTGAGCTGCTCAAGAGGGACTCGGTGGTGGACAGCCCGGACTCGGCCTGCGGAGGCGAGGACCGCAGCGACACGTCCTCGCAGGAATCCCTGCAACAGTCCAGCTCCTATCAGGGAGAGGGGCGAGGCAAAGGACGAGGCGTTCTGCTGCAGTACAGGCTGCGCTCCACATCCGGATTACCCGGACGGCCGCTAACGGCGCTGGGCGACGAGGCGTCAGACTCCTCCCTGGAGTCCTTGGAGCACAGCGTGGAAGATGGATCTATCTACGAGCTCAGCGACGACCCAGAAATGTGGGTCAGGGGGCGTCCTTGTGAGCGGGACGGGGGACGCAGGGACAGGGTGATCTCGGCGGCGGTTATCTCTGGAGGCAAAGGCTTCCGCAGACTGAAGGAAGGAGCTCCAGCAGGTACTAGGACAAATGTGGAGGGTTTAGAGAATATTCTAATGGTATGGCAGCTCCCACTGACAGTGTGATATGAAATATATATGGAAAGATGATGCATATTTATAGATGTCTACCCAGCTTAGCCTCCAGTAACCTGTTCCATCATCTCAAGGGATTTGGATGTATAATGAGAAGGTGTTGCCATTGTTACAGAGCTTGACATCTTGTGATTTAGCCTGTGGAATCAGAACATCTGAGGCGTCCTGTTTACTCGACACCCAAAGGACCCTTTAATGTTCAGGACTGTGCATCATGAGCTGCCACAGTTTAGTTCTGATGTGGTTCCTCCTCCTGCTTTAGTTTCGATTGATATGCTGCAATTTAACCTCATCGCACTTCACATTTATTTCATGCCGAGGACTTTGGGCTGAGCACCCATGGACAGCGGCCCTTTGTTGAATCTGCCATGCTCCGCAGAGTTAGAGACGGACGTGTTTTATCTGATCCTGTGGGAGAGATCCCATCTGTTTAGAGCTGAAAGCCGGAGACTACCACCGCACCACAAAGCACATTAACATCACTTTATGAGCTCCGCCAGCCTCGCTCTCATCCCTGTACAATGTGAACGTAAGAAACCTTATATTGTGTCTCAAAATTCCATATGTGCTCTCCTGAAAAGAATGTTGTGTCTTGTTGCAGCTGTTGCAAAAAAAAAAAATGGATTCACCCAAGAACTTCCATCGCTTTGTTGAGAAGGGAAAACAAAAAAATTTGCCAGAGCTGCCAGATATCGGTTTTCATTATTCACTGTCATTCGTCAGCCAGATAAAAACAAATGTGTGCTCACAAACAACTCACATTAGCTAGAAACCCCAGTGACACATCAAAAACTCTATTACCGGATGATGAAATAATCACGTCCGCCGCTACTGGCGATGCATCAACGAAGGGAATCGAACTAAGACGTGCACATTCAATTACATTCTGATTAAAGGGGATGTTCTACAATAAACAGCACATCTGTACAGAAATTTACAGATGTTTATTCTGTGGGATATTAAGTCACATCAAACTTATCTCACAAGTTTTCCTGGTGATTTCATGATAATATTTGGAGTTTGACACAAACATTAATATTTTCTGATCTTCAGATCGGTCGAAAGACGACTTAGTCTTTGTGTTTTTAACTGAACATGCAAATTAATCCTCATGACCATATGTACAGGTTCTTTTTTTTTTTTTTTAACATGTAAAATAACGAGATTTTGGAATTTCCTTGTTTTTATCCAGCAGCAGCAGCAGCAGTGTGTTGAAGTGGGTATGAGAAGCACTCAGTGGTACTTAGTTTAATATTGTGATGTTTCTATATAAGTTACAGTTACATTGAGGGGCTTGTAAAGATGGACCGATGACATTGGCATCGCGGAGAAAATGATATTAAACAGGCACATTTTACAGTGTGCCGACGCAGCTCGCTCAAGTATCAGCCCATGAACGTGGCTTATAGTCTACCATTTTTTCTCAGCCCACATTACTCCACGTAGCCCGTTCTCCGCACATGGATTCACGTCTTATCCCTTCATCAAAGACGAAGCATAAAAATTCAGATTTCGTTCATTGACGTTCTTCTTCTTCCCCTCTTTTCTTCTTCTTCTTCTTCTTCTTCTTCTCCTCCTCGAAGCTGAAATTCAAAAAGGCATTTAAACGTCCCGCTGTCGGCCGGAATCGTTAAAAAATAAACAAACACGATGATGTGAACCGTCCTCAGATGCTGTCATCTAAATGTAAATCTCAATGTCATGTCAAAAATATACACTCTAATTCATGTCAGGTTCAATGCCGCTGGTACCACTGCACTCTCATGGTCACTATGGAGATTGTTTGTTCAACCTCAAGCAGAGAATCTAACTCGTTGCTGCTTGAGGAGCCTGATGAAATCTCCTCTGCTGCAGATTTGATGTGTTTCGCTAACTTATCCACTAACAACTGAGATTGAATCTCAAATGTATTTCTGCCTTTAAGGGACATTGACCATTTCATTTCATTTCATTTGCTTCTATTACATATGTGCAGGTATCATCCATACACTGAATATAATGCTCATGAATGAACGTACTGTACTACTAATTAGAGCTGTGCTAATTAAACCCTTATTCCCTTTTGTAAAGCGGACCGTGACAGTGTTGATATTTTGAACGAGCCTGCACGAGGCACAGTTTTTCATTTTCCTGTAGCGTTGAAGGTCACTGCTGTTTATCATTTATTATTTCTGTAGATTTGTTCCTCGGTCTTAACAACATCAGTTCATTTATTTATTTGAACATTTAATTAGAGGATGAACCCACTTGAGATGCACCATATCAAAATTAAAGAAAATTAAACAAACACACGAAATTAAGAAGTCTGGGGAAATAAGAAACACAAATTGTCAAGTGAACAAACTGTTGTGTTTTTTTTCAAAGGTTCATTTTTCAGGGCAAAAATTTAAATAATGTTTTGATTTGTCAGACTTTTTGCCAAACGGTCGGAGGCACGTGTTTTCCTGTGCAATGTGGTGCAATTACATGAAAGCTGCTTAAACTTTGCCATCTGCAAATGTTGGTTTGTTTCTAACCTGTGTGATCATGTGACTGCTTACGTTTGTTAAAACCTGCTACATTCAAAAAAAAAATCTAGTATTAGTGTCGACAATATAACCATGACTGAAATATTATTATTAATAATAATAAAGAAAATAAACAATAATCATCCTCTCGACTAAAGTATTACGCTTAAAGCCATCAAAGGCATATTGAAATGAAAAACTTGTGTCCTCTCGGTACAGAAGTTTAAATGTTACACGTCTCAACATTGTCTCTAACAAGTTCAAATAAAACGTCTTTAAACATGAGTTTGATCTTTGTCTCTGACTCATGAAGAATGTAGTTGATGTGGATTATATATTGTACGTCTGCAGCATTATTCTGTTTATGATTTAACACATTTTTTTATTTCTCTCTGACTCTGAATCCCGTCTTTGAAGCTTTTTTTGTTTTCCAGCCAGTGATCGGAGTCGTTATGTTTGTCCATCCGTCCCATTTCTGGGAACAAGATATCTCAAGAATGCCTTGAGAGAAATTCTTCAAATTTGGTAGAAACATTCACTTGGACTCAAGGAGGAACGGATTAGGTTTTGGTGGTCAAAGGTCAAAGGTCAAGGTCACGGCGGTCTCACAGAGTATGTCTCTGTTTTTCTTGGACGTGATATCTTAGGATCCACCTGAGGGAATGTTTTCAAATTTCGTACACGTCCCTGTGCATGTGATGTATTAGAACTGCCCACGGGGAATTTCATTACATGTGGTAGATAACGTGATTATGTTTCAGTGGTCGAAGGTCAAAGGTCACAGTGGCCTCATATCAATCTGGGGGAAAAAGGACTTCCGACATATGTACATGGAAACTGCTCTGGTTGGTGGAGATGATCCACTTATACTCAAAGAAGATGCTTATTAAAAGAAAACACTGAACACAGATGCTGAAGAGAAGAGAGAAGAATGACGTAATGCCATTTCATTTTGAACTCGGCTGTGTCCTGTCGTCTGCGCTGCCCTCGAGACATCACGTCACAGGTCACGCAGCTTCTTTTAATCTTATGGCTTTGAGTCCCTGGTTTAAAATCCACGGCAGCTTTGGTTTTTAGAGTTTAATGAAAAGTAAACTCATTAATTAACCTTAGGTGCAAAAAGCAAAAAACAGAATCAGGGAAAACAAGGTCTTACGAATTGACTTAAATTTACATTGTCGTTAAATTCCGAGCTAAATTAGATGTTTGTCTCATCCTTTATGCTTCCTCACGTTCAGGCTCATGCTGTCGCTGGCCCGCTGCACTCGGAGGGTAGACAGGCGGGGATTGTTACGAGCGAAACTGCAGGCGCAGACACACTGGGGAACCCCGACCATTTCCCACCCGCCTCTTCCACTCCTCCGGCTCTCTCTACCTGACTGTATCTCTCCCCGGCTGTTTTCTTTCTCCTTCTCTTTCCAGCATTTTTCAGGAATAAAAAATCCACAATGTGAGGTCAACGTGTGCAACGGTTTCCCTTTGACCTCACAGCTGAATAGGCTCAGCAGCAGTCCACGGGAAATTAGCAGGAAAGGTCAGCGCTAAAATAAACCATGAATAATAAAAAAGGTGTTTGGGAACATCTATCTACTGATTTCAGAAATCTCTGTATGTGGCTCACATCTCTCCAGAACCATTCGTCTTATCGACCTCACACTTTTCTATTGTTAAGAGCCCTCGCAGTGTTGAATTTGGTGACGTTCAATATTAATAAACTTCGAATAAACAGTTGACGAGCCCTGTGGACTGAATTGAACATATTTAAAATCTGGATTATTTTACCATCTCAGACTGACACAGACATTCAGAGGCATCGTGGGTGCTAATCGTCATGGCAACAACATGCTAATCACATCCTCTTTAGAAAGTTCTCTACAAAGTAAAAGTGCAACGTGAGTTTTGTTGCTACAATGCTTTATATCGACCTTTTACTTTGAAAACTTTGTGAATTTGGGTCTGAAGATTGTTTCAGTTGCTCCGCAGACCTGGAATATTGACGCTGGCATGTATGAGCAAATAACACAAGTTGAGTAGATCATTCAAACTCAAATACGAGCCACATTAATAAAGCAAATTGTGTCATTGCTTCATTGCAGATAAACCAGGTAGGATGAACACAAAGTTTGCTAACCTCGCTCTTTTTATAAAAAATTCTGCACACAACGTCCTGCTGACCAACACTAAAAAAGTCACATTATATTGTAGAACCGTCGGACGAGGATTCACTGTTGAGGAATAATTCTGATGTCGCTCCGCAGCATCGACGCAAATTTACAAACAGGGAACTTTCAAATGGGCCCTGCACTAGTTTAAATAATCACAGCATACATAACTGACTAAACTGATCAGAGTCAGTTGAATCTTTCATATACTCTTCCTGTAAATCAACTTGAACATGAAAAGAAGAGTTATGTGATTACACACACGCACAGATGGCTTTTTAGTTAAATGCAGTGAAGTCTTCCCTCGGTGTGATTCTGTAGTTAGAAATGCGTAACCATCAAAATGGGTGTCAGAAAACAAAAAATGCATTCCCTGCCATTAATATGCCTCCTCACTCTCTGTGGACGCGTTTAATCTAGGCTTTGTTTACTTGTTCTCTTTTCAGTTTCGCCACGAGCTCTCATTTACTCAAAGTTTTTGTTGGCTCACAGATTTTTATCTTGGGAGCGCCAAAAATACGCAAAAACCAGGATCCAACAGCACAGTGAGGATCAAATGCACGTTCAGACAGCGTGGGTACAGCTCCGGTGAGAATTGTACTACAGATCTGATAAAGCAGTGCTGAGTTCGCCTCGTACCTGGGTCAGCAGCAGAGCGAGCACTTGCCGAAAAAACCCCAAAAACCACAGAAAAATGTGAGCTCCCAAATGCTGCGCAAGCATTTCCCTGTCGAGTCAGACAGCGCAGGGCACAAATACGTGTGTGTGCTTTCCCTGGTGAGACCTCACAACCCCCTTTTTTTCCGGAGCCTTTCTATAGATATTTTCTGCCAATTAACCCTGCTCCGGGAGAGATTTGCCTATCTCCAGCCCCAGCTTTGCGCCTGTGCAGCTCGCGGCGTCACTCTCCCTGCGTCTCAGGTATAATTTGCATGCCTCGGTCAAGGCTAA